TAAATAATCATTATATATGTTATCTGTATAATATCTATAGAAACTTAAAAATATATTAAATTATAATTTAAAAAATCAAAAAAAACTTAACAACAAGAAATTTGAACTGCGGCGTACAGTGGGACAGAATAGCTTTAAAACTGGACAAAAGTAATTTTTTTTTATTTTTGATTTTTAAGTTAAATAATTATTTTAAGGACACTTGTTAGACTTAAGAATAACAAGTGAAAATATCTACACGAAATCACCCCCTCCCCTCCCAAAAAAAAAAATTACTCTGAGAAAAAATCCCCCGTAAAATATAAAATTAAAAAAAAAATATTGCTTTAAAATTGATTGATTGCCTGCCCAGACAAAAACCCTCAGTCAATGCGGCACTCCTTGCATGTTGTACTTATTTGTCAGTCGATTTATGAAAAAATGAAGGATTAAGGTTGTATTATAATACGTATGTATAAAATATTTGTGTTATAAATAACTATTATATTGATATATCGTTTATTTAAAAAAAAAACTCCCGAATAAGATGGACCAGAGACTCTTTTATACATTATCTCTAAAAAATGTTTCATAACACTTTTTTTCATTTTCGTCAAATGCCCAGTTTTAAAGCAATTCTGCCGCACTGTGCGGCGACTCACTTCAGAAATGCTGCGAGCTAATCACTTTGGCCACTAAGGCGTATTGTTCGATAAATGTTTTACCATCATTTAATAATGACTCAAGAAGACTTTTAACGGTTAGAGCCGGTACGCTCTAACCGTTCTTCAAACTAAAAAATGTTTCTCTTAAAGAAATGAATCTAGAAATCAATCAATTAGCTGATGTAAAGCTTTTTGATCTAATGAAGGAACTTTTATCAAGCCATATAAAATAGTTGTGCGAGGGTACAGTTTTTTATTTTATTAGACGGAAGGGGGAAAGGATAGAAAGAGAGAGAGACCACAACCGTTATTTCTCTGGGGGAAGGGGGGGGGGCAGTATAACACATAAGACGATCCAGGCCTTATATAACAAAATAATACTTCAAAACATAGAGTTTTTTAAAGTGAATAATCTTGTTGCCCTAAAGAAAAAACAAAAACATCTCGTAACTAACAAAACCAATTTTGCCGATATATATTAAATATAACATAATCTGGGAGTATTCTATTAGACGATCTTAAAGTAAGCTATCAAGTCGAATCAGCAGTAGCAAGAGCCAACAGTAAACTTGGTAGACTAAAGAAAATATTTAGAAGTCGTGGTCTCTTTTTGTGGAAAGTACTCTACAAAACCTATATAAGACCCCAGTTAGAATTTGCTATCCAGGTTTTATCACCACACAAGGAAAAAGACATTACTATTCTAGAGCAAGTACAGCAAAAAGCCACTAAAACAATCAAGGAAATAAAGCACTTGGAGTATAAAGAAACATTCCTTCATCTTTGCTTAACTACGCTTAAGGAAAGGAGAGTTCAAGGTGATCTAATTCAACAATTTAAACTTTCTTCACCAATCGCATTGTCAATGTATAGAATATGTTGTTTCTAGACGTCATAAGTGCTTAATCAGTCAACTCGTTCAAAGATAGTGTTCACAAATTGAAATTCAATATTGATGAATGATCGGATATATGAGTGTTTTTTCTTTTAGCATGGAAGTGTTTGGTGTAACACTTTCTTTTCAAAATATGCAAATGTAATACATGCATACATAATTGATTTCTGAAATACATGAACCCAAACTCAAAACTCATAAAAAGAAAAATAATAGTTATAATTAAAATAAATAAATATAATAAGATTAAAAGCAAAAACAAAAACAAAACAAAAAAAAGAATAAATAAAGTTAACAACTGAAACATTGGCTTAAGTGCAAAATGGCAAAAAAGTGCCAAGAGAGTTTGCAAGCATTAGCATAAGTGCAAATCAGTTGTAAAAACTGGTATAAGTGCGAAGCATTAGTTAGCATATGTGTGCACTTATACCAGTTCGCACCTATGAAAATGTTATCAAATTTATTCGGCACTTATGTTAATTTGCACTTATGCCAGTTTGTACTTATGTCAATTTTTGCAGCTACATCTCACTTATGACAGTTTGCATTTATGAAACTCGCATTAATTCTCCCTCCTGTAAAATAAATCATTTTGTGACGTCATCAAAATTAAGCACTTATACAAAGTTAATGTTTTTTAAATAAAATTCACATAAACAACATCAAAAGGCAAATTAAATATTTTAAGAGATAACGGTTTCAGCAAAACAAAAATAGTGCTACACATTTAAAATGCTAATTTCGTCCATAAAATGTCTTTACGTATCTGTTTTTTATATAATAGATTGTTTACTTTCATTGAAAAATATGTTTTACTTTATTCAAAAAAAATTTGCTTAAAATTTTCAACTATTAATCTTTTTCTAAGCAAATAACTGAAACTACATGAAAATTTCAGCATCAGGTAGAAAATTGAAATGATCAAATTTAGCTTTAGATCCTTTTAAATTAACTAAAAGACAAAATGGTCTTGTCATCTGTTGTCATAGAGCATCTCGAAAAGCCATTTAACTAGGAAGTTCACACTTCCTTTCTCACCAATGACGATAACAATAGCCAGAGCTTGCATTGAACGCTGGAAATGGTCAAAATAACTTTTTTATAATTTAAATAGTAGATAAATAGAACCATATACCACAAGAAGTTGTGAATGCAAAAAATTTGAACATATTTAAATTCCTGTGTGATAAATATGTACAAAACAGTGAAAAGGTATTAAAGTTTAACATCTACTGTTTTTAGACTCTATACACATTGTTTATCACAACTTTTTTTTATTTTTATTTATTTACTTTATTGTATTTATAAATCAACAATTACGATTATTTCATGATACGTAAATTTAAAGCCTTTTCTTTTGTCCAGGAAATGTTTTTCATAGGATATTAACTTTTTTTTATTTTTGAGCTTTAGAAACACAAGCTGAAAAAAGATAATGTTATGCTAATTATAATATGTGTTGTTTAACATAACATTAACATAACATGTTAATGTTATGTTAAAAATATTATGTTATGTTAATGATATTATGTGCACGTTGAGAACACCGAAGATACACTGGACGTTTTTTTGTTGGTTGTCTAGTTCTATAAGTTGAATTATGTCCATTGTTACAAAGTCATAAATAATTTGTTTTCTTAACCTTATCCGTCTTCTGGAATAAATGATAAAAAATGTTCCACTGGTTTTCCATTAGGCATTACATACTACTCGACAAAAATGAGTTGATGGACGTGCTAGACGTCTCTGGTTGAACCAACAATAATTGAATCATGTTTAGCAGCTTTAAATTCAATAGCTGCAGGAAAGACATTTGATAATGAAAAAAAAAATTATTTTAAAATTTTTAAGTACTCTTTTTAAAGCAATTGTACCAAGTCTTTGTAAAAGTGAATCTCTAAGTAGGTTGTTTAACTCTTCGTAAATATTAGCTGATAGGTAGGAAGTGCTATTTTTACCGTAGTCTACATTTTAGTGTCTATATGTTTAGCTAGAAACAGGTCGTATTCATCTAATAACTCTAAAGAGTCATTGAAATTTCCTTCATGACATGATCTAATATTCTGGTCTGATCCACGAAATGTGCACCATATGACGTATATGTCATACATCATATAGTGCGCGTATAATAAGCTTTTGCCGTTATTTGCACGGCAGTCCTGTGAATAAGCTTTTTTCGTATAGACCACTTCGGGAATTCATTATATTATATGATGACCATATTATAATGGCGGATTCAAATAAAAACAAAAAAAACTCGGTTTTACTCGCAGGCAATAAAAAAGCCATCTAGTTATTAATAAAAAAGCCATTTAAGAGTTTGGCTCTTTGATAACAACTGCTGAACCCACAAGTAACCGTTAGATTTGCAAAGTTGAACTGCTTGAAAAATTTTATATAAGAACTTTTTTGGTCAAAATCTGGTTTTATCATAGGTTTCATGACCTGTATAGATCTTGAAAAAAACAGGTCATCCAATAACATGTTATTGGATGATTAAAAAAAAGCTTTATTAGTGCGAATAACACAAAAACTTATATTCAATACGCAAGAAAGGTCTAAATAATAAAAAAAATCTTAATGGCTAGATTTGAAACAAAAATATTCAATTGCTTTGCTCGACCCAGACCCCTTTTTATAGAAATGTTTTAATCAATGAATAAAGGAATAAATTTATTTTATATCGAAATTCATCAATAAAACTAAAATTTTATTAAAATTTTGATTTGTATTGGCGACTATGTAAAATTTAAAACCACTTCTAATCGCAACTAATCTGATTTTGAAGTCTTAACTATTTTGAAGGCTTAACTATTCCCAAAAAATCCTGATAGGGTTTTTTTTGGACATCGCCGTGAATAAACACCGTTATTTGTATAGTAAAGTATATGCGCAATATGCGTTTCATGAAATTCGCCTCAAACTTTTTTATTAAACTTGTTTTACGATTTGTTGATTATTATTCAAATTATTTTATTTTTACTATCTTTAAAAACAATAGAATATTAAATAAGTTATCTAATGTTTTCTTTTTTAAATAATGGAATAAATCTCCATGAATTTAAATTTTATGAACTTAAAATATTAGTTTTGTTTTTTGTAATTAAATTATTTTATTTATCTTTAATTAGTTTGAAATATTTACTTAAAAGATTACTTTCATTTTCTAGTTATAATCATTTTTTACTCAGTGGTATTTTTTTTCTAGCTTTTAAAATAAACATTGATTATCTTAAACTAAAAGACATTTTGAACATTCTAAAATTTACAAAACAATTTTTAAGACAAAATCGTTACCTGACAAATATTTTATATAAAGACAACAATAAAAATAGTAAATTATTTGTCTTTTTACACCTTTCACCTTCTATTCACAAAGTTTTTATAGTTTTGGTTGTTTTGCAAAGCTTTTGTATGTATACACGTACGTAATTTGTTTTGTACTTTTTTTTTGAGATATCATTTAAAAAGAAAAAGTATTAAGTATTGAGGATAAAATACGATTGACGCATTTAAAGTATCTATCTTTAATAATTAAAGTATTTCTAACGAATTATGACTTCAACAAGTAACGCAACTGATCCTTTACAAGAAAGTTCTGTTTCGGAAAGTACAGAATCAACTTTTGGAAGCGAAACTGCAACTGAAGCAAGTGAAACCGTAAAAAGAGCAAAGTATCAATCGAAAATCACTTCAAATAAAAAAAATAGTAATGCTGCAAAAAGGTACTTTAAAAATATTATATAAAATAAAATTTTATGAAAAGTCACAAATGTAGCGAAATACCTTATTACTATTTTATGGATATATTATTAGTATATAATAATAAACAAAACTAATTATTTTATGGATGGTATTTGTGTTTTTGAAATTTTAAAAATATTAATGCATCTGTGAGACGCTCAATTTTTTATTTTTATATTTATTTATTATTGCGCAAAGTATTGTTTCTTTAACCTACGTTTTGATCACTTGATTATTGAGGTCAATATCAAAATGGATAATTAATAGTAATCCTTTTATTTTAAAAAATATTTAGCACACAAAAGTTACGGTTTTCTGTTTATTTAGAGTTTTTTTTTTAATTTACTCATTATTATTTAATCATAATTACACAGGATATTAAATAGGAAAAAAAATGTGTTTGGAGGACATAGTGTCTTTTTGCTTTTAAAACTTGAAATTTTCTCAATACTAAAAAAGATAAAAAAAAATTAGAAGAATATAAAATTTATTTAATGAATAATAAATTTTTATTTAATAATAAATATTTACTAATTATTAATAAATATTTTTTATTAATAAAAAATTAGCATTTTTTTAGCCACAGTGCTGCACCCATCTCTATCAAAATTTGTTTTAATAAAAAAAAAAAGAAAAGAAGTTTGAAATTTAGTTTAATAAATTCCTTTCAAAGCAATTTTTTAGTGTACATAAAACAATCATCTGTGATAGAGGTAGGGGGTGGTAGCAATTTTTCAGTCACAGCACTGCTCCTACCCCTTATAAAAATTGTTAAATTTAAATAAAAAAAGGTTTGAAATTCATTTTAAAAAGCTCCAAAATTATTTTACAAAAAACTTTTTTTAGCTCAAAAAAGAATAGTTGATATATGTGCTGAAGTAATATATAAACTATTGCTTAGTTGATGTATGTGCTGAAGATCTATGTTTATTTGAGCATGTATATTTTCAGTGACATTTAGTGCATGTCCAACTAAGTATTTGTTATGGCTTACTATACAAACAGGCTGAGTAAACACACTTGTGTGTTTACTCAGCCTGTGTTTTTCTAAAACCTGTACAGGTTTTAGAAAAAAATTTAAATAATAGATTAAACTAATAAATAAACCTTTTAGATAAAAAAATTGTATATTAAATGCAAACAACCTACCTTTCATTCGAAATATTAGAAACTCATTTCTAAAAGTGGTAGTAATATATTTACATATTATGTTTAAAATGTTTATAAAAAATGACAGATCTATTGAGTCCATACATTTTTACAATAGTATTTTTTACTATTTGGAAATTTTTTAAGATGCAATATGTTTTTAAAGCAATTACTGCTTCAGGTTTTGTTAGATTAACAAATTCATATTTTAAAAAATGTTAAAATTTTGCCATATAAAAAAAAACATTCTGAAAAATTTTTGGTTTACTTTATATTGTTGCAAAAAATAGCAACAACAGAACTGCCGCAATCATTTATCGTGTTCAATCATACTGAAAATTTGCATTTAAGCCTGTTTCTACATTATACAAAAACTATTTTTTGCAAAATTTTACAATATTTCACTGATTTTGTAGTGTTAACAGATTTACTATAAATTTATTTTTGTTATTATATTCAAAACTTTATTTTCAAAATGCAATATGAGCAGTTTTGTTTTTATGTACTAGCTTTAATAAAAAAATTTAAATAACTTAAAAAACAACAAATTACTAATAATAACAAATACTTAAATAAAGAACAACTTAAAAAACTATTAATTAAAAATAAACTATTAAATAATAATAAAGTGCACTTTTTATGCTCAAATTATTTTTTTAATTAAGTAATTTTTAAAGTGGGATATGTTTAAAGTGGGACAAATAAAATTAATTATACTGTGTTTAAAAAAAACTAATTCATAATTAATCATTTCTTGTTTTAAAAATAAACACTTTGACCCTAGTTGTCTAATAATTCAGCCTACAGCTCTGAAAGTTTTTTTTTCTTTTTGAGCTTTTTCAGCCTAAAAAAGAAAAAAATAATTAAAAAATGGAAATAGATTAAAATTTTTTAGATGATAGCTAAAGATTAATTTAATATTTCGGCTGATAGTCTTGGGACTGACACATAGATGGCGCATAGATTACTGTTTCCATATAGTTTTCAGTGGTACTAACCTTCAAATGAAACATAGATAATTATGACCAAAATTGGACAATTCTTTTGTGAGTTATATGTGTTTGAGTGAAGCTACTTTTGTTATTCTTAAAAAAATGCGAAAAGATAAATTTTTTGTGTTAATAAAATATTATTTTTTAATGGAAAAAAATACGGTCCAAACAAAAACTTGGTTTAATGAATGTTTTCCGGACTCTTATCCGATGAAAACAGCCGTTTGTCAATGGTTTGCTGGTTTACTTCAAACCTGGCTGTGTGAGCACAAATGATCCTGAATGCAGTGAATGCTCAAAAGAGGTTGTTACTGATGAAAGCATAAAAAAAATCCACAGTGTTTGTTATTTTCAACAACAAAGTTTGATAGGGCAAATCAAAAAATTAAAAAGAATGATTTTCCTATATTTTATTTGTTTTTGTTTTTTTAATGTAAGGAAAAATATAAATGGCTATCTGTTTGTAAAAAATATTTGTATAATTTTAAAGTAACAAGAATATATTGTCTCTATTTGAAATTGTCTATGTAATTCATGCGTATACTTTTATGTATAACTTTTTTTTATTATATATTTATATTTAATTATTTATTATTATACGCACATTTAGCTTATGGGTAATTCCACATCAAATCACCCAAATTTTTCAAGATTTTGAACCATAGGTCTCATATTTTCTTTAAACTTCTTTAGCTGTTGCATTTCATATAGAAAAGTTCACATGCAAAATTTTAGCCAAAAATGTTCAGCCGTTCACAAGATATCAAGGTTTTAATATAGACCTGGTTTCCCAAAATGACCTGGTTTCTGTGTCATTTTAAAAAAACGTTTGCTCTAATAAAATGAAAAATAATGAAAATAAAAATATGAAAATTAGCATTTATAATGCTTTTCTAATGCAGAATTCAAAAAATGCACTTAGAATGCTGAAATATGAGCAGAACATGCTTTAAAATTAAAAACACACCTAATTTATATATTCAAACTTAGGGGTCATATATCTCAAAACACCCCCGTCTAGATTTTTTTTTTTTTGCTTTTAATATTTTTAGCTACTTATTATCTTACTAGGCACAAAAAACCTAACTGGAAAAACAACTAAAACATATAGAACCATAGTTTCCAAGATACACCACTTTTATGGGTGCCCATAGCAATTTTCTAACGAGGGGGAGGGGTGAGGGAACAACAAAATATTTTTAGTGATGTTCTAATTTAGTTCAATTTACCAAGAATACTTAAAAAAAAGCATATTGCAAAAGAAATGGTGAAAACAACTTTTTTTTATTACAGTTAGAGGGGAGGAGAATAGTGTTTCAATAACACCTGGCATTGCCATATCTCTGTCATTTAAACCATTTAGCCAATAAAACATATCAAACTACTTTGTATGAACAGTAGTTACTTAGTAGTGATAAGTTGTAGATGATAAGTTGAGACATCATTGTTAACTCTTATCAAGCTCCAATTATCCTACAGCCAAAGATTTGGAAATATCTAATACTATATCATTATTTAATATATTTAAAACTAGAGCTTTTTTTTTTACTGAAAACTAAGTAGGAAAGTTCTTTTTTTTTTTGTATCCTTCGAATTGCTTTTTTCTTACTGCAAAAGCATTCAATACACTTCATTGCAAACTAATTAAAAAATTAAAAGGGTATGGCATCACTTAAAAGCTGCTAAAAATCTTCCTAAAGATAGTACATGTGTAGCAAATTATAGAATTCTGTAAAGAATTAATTTTGGTTAATAGACTTTTTATATATTTAAGGAAGTCTTAATTATATGATAACTTAATTATATGAACTTAACAACTGAAAAAACATCCGGTTTTGTTTTTATATAAAAACATTTTATAAAAAATAATTGTTATGTTAATATGATATTTTTTTTAATTTTGACAACTATAGTTTGTAAAAGTTTATTAAAAATTAGTTTATAAAAGTTTAGTTTATAAAAGTTCAGATATAGAACAACATTTATTGGTAAGATTATATTTAAATTTTAAAAAATTAATAATTTAAATAATATAATTATTTAAAAACTTCTTTTTTTACAACATTTATTATTAATATTAATAATAATAATATTAAGAACAACATTTATTAAAAATTATATTTATTAAAAAACTTTTTTTACATACAATTAAGTAGAAGAATTTAATTTTTATTTTTAGGAAATACTTTCATACTAAATAATTTATCTTATTAAGATGTGTTCTATTGGGTTAATGACATCAGATGCTTGCGAAGGCCAACAAGATGTTATTGAAACTTTAAGCAATGAAGAAAAAATAATTATATCTTTACGCTGTAATATTGAATTATCAAACTTAGAAATATTATGTGAAAGACATAATACAAAATATTTGAAAATGTATCCTATATGGCAGAAAGCTTGTTGTGATCCATTCAATAGACATACAAAGAAAATCACAAGTATGTAGCTGTAAAATTTAAATATTTCATTAATTTATGTTTTTCAAAAAATAAACGAAAGTTTTGAACTAATGTGCAGACATACTTTATACAATTCAATTACTTTTAGAAAATCTTGGCGTAGTTACAATAAAAGAGTCACAAGTCATGATGAGAAATTGTTTGAATATTCCTCCTGGGAAGAAACTTTGCAAACCTTGTAAACAAAAGATTGCCAGAAAAAAAGAACTTACAGAAGAGGAGCAAAGTAAGAGTGAACAAGATGAGGATTTTCTAATATCACCATGCAAAAAAATAAGACAGGAGATCAATAAAGAACTCAAAAATTTTAGTTTATCTCCTCTAAAATCTCATTCAAAATCATTAAAACATATACTGTCAGAAGGAAAGCAAAAAGTT